AAATTTATATTTTTAAATTTTTGGTACAGTTTTGTGTTGTTGAATTAAGAGAGGCTTGAATGCTGCTAGCTGTTGAAAGAAAAATTCCAAAATTTTTTTATGTCATCCAATCCTCTTTGGTGCCTCATAAATCATAATGCTGGTGAAAACTAATTGACATGCACCAATATCATGTTGTTGAATTTTTGGATGGACAAGGAAAGGATTGATAATCTTAATACTGGGACAAGAGAGATATTGTTTGTGCTATTACTGAATTGATTTATTATTGCTTCCAAGCTTCAATTGCTGAAATTAGTTTTGTTTAAACTGTTGCTTTGGTTTCTTAGGCCTTGTGACTTGTTTTAAGATTTATGTTTGTCTAGATTTATTAATGTTGACTGACTTGTTTTTATACTAACAAACCCTATAAAGATAAGGTAGGGAGAGAGAGAATGATAACCTTTTTCCAAGGTGTATCGGATGGAAGATTTTCGTTGATTTTAAGAACTTTTCCCAGTCATCACGCAAATAAAAATGTTATCTTTCAGCCACTTTTACTGGCAGAACTTGCTAGTTCCCATGTGGACGTGGGACCTGTTACCATTTTGTATTGTTTTTTCGGGTTGCTCAAGAATTATTTATTGTCGACGAATATATTCCCCTGCTTTTTCTAAGCATTTTCCAGGAAACTCCATTTCTTTTGTTTATGGGAGTAGCTACCAGCTAGAAAGACTCCCAAGTATTTTCCAGGAAAACCGTTGGCTGCCTTTTTCTAAGCATTTTCTAGGAAGGCCGAAACCACTCTTTTGGGTGTTGCTACGAAGGATCATCAGTAGTTTCGGTGAGGAAATCATTCTTCATTGTTATAGTGGCTTCTTCCCCATCTTAAACTCTGTCTTCATCCAGAACCTTGTTTCTTCTCTGCAAGCTTTAAGATCTTAATTTTCCAGGTACATACATACATATTTGCTTTTTCTACCATTTTCACTCTTCCATTTGTTTGATGCGACACAAATTAAATTAAGAAAATTTCGAATTTCCTCAGTATGTATTTTTCTGCTTTTTATTTGATACCAGTTCTTTCCGCACCAAAATACCCTGCGCAAGAACTAAGGAGGTCTGCCTGCTTTCTTTGTTATTTTAATCACACAAAGCCCTCTGAGTTGCGGACCAGGTATGATATAATTTATTCATTTTTTCTTGATGAAAGGGTATGATATATTTTTTCATAAAAAAGTTTAGAGTTTATTTAATATATTTTGCTTCTCAAAAACTCAAAGAATAAAAGTATATGGAGGAAAAAATGGATCTATGGGCGTTGTTCTTTTGGATTGGGCCATTTCCTTATTGGGCTGGTACTGATTTTGGTTAAAATCCTAAAATAGTTTTTGAACTTTAAGATTTTCGCTAATTTAGTCCTGAATTTTCAAAAATATTGAAATGGTCCATGAACATAATTTTCTAGCTTCATTCACATTGGCAAAATTCCAAGGATTTGGTGTTGAACTCATAAACAGTTTTTATATAAATTTTAAAATAATGATATGATCATAAACTAATTTAACTAGTTAATAAACTAAAGTATGCATATTGCATTACTACCTCTTCTCTTCTCTTCTCTCATCCATCAAAACTAACTCCACATAACCAAATCCTTGGAATTTTCACTATATTTGAATGGAGCTAGAATATTCTGTTCAGGGACCAGTATAGTATTTTTAAAAGTTCAGGGACCATTACAGTCTTTTTAAAAGTTAAGGAAAAAATCAGTTAAAAGTTCTGAAGTTTAAAGACCACATTTGGATTCTTTTCCATTGTCTTTTTCAGTTTCCATGCGTTTTTTATTACTTTTATTTTTATTTTGTAAAAAACATCTTTGCCCTGCTTTTTCAAAGCATTTTCTAGGAAGGGCAACCATCCTTTGGGTGTTGCTACGAAGGCTCACAATCATTTTCCAGAAAAACCATTTGTGCTGCCTTTTT